AAATTAAAGTACACTCAGTTCTCTCTGCAAGTCTCATGGCAGTTGTAATTTTACCTATTTTTGTGATTATTTTATTATCATCCTCTCCTTCACAAAACCCTAAACCCCCTAAGAATAAGGCCTCGCCCAGTTTTGCTCACTGCAGAATCTCTGCTGTCTAGCACCTAATTCGGCACATGGTGGGCACTCAGTGGTGAATTAAATTTAGGTCAAATTTATGATTGAGTAGGGGCCCACAGAATGGGATTTAGAACATACCGATGATGTTATTCAAAACAGCTCTCTCATTGTCTTCTGACAGTAAACGAAGTTCCCTAGTGAGCGATTCATTGCTTTGAAGGAAGCAGATACCCTTTAAAATGCAACTGCCACCTGAGAGAAATCTTGCTTTAGGTAATTATTTAACACCTCACTGGATGGTTAGATGACAGGTAACTAAGAAGGAAACTCTCTGGAAATGGAACAAAGAACAAGGAGGCACAGAAAGGTGCCCAGGACATGAGCTTTCCGAGGTTCCTACTGAACACATGTCTTCAGTCCTCCCACAAAGATGTTTAACTATAATGTTCCCTATAAAAAATCATGTTACCTTCTGACCCTTCCTACAATCATATATCGCATCCCCAATGAACCGTGTTTTTATGCCTCTGCAGAAACTTGCAAGATTAAAAAGAATCAACATAGATTACACAATGAAGACTCAAAGGTTCCAGAATGATTTGTATTCGATCCATAATCATTCTCAATCTTTCATCTTATCAGCACTTGTAAATTACACATACTCCATTTAAAAACACACTGAGCCCCAAATCCCTATTATTTTCAGCATGATTGCAAACAGCTAAGCCAATCATATGAACAACCAAGTGAGGGAGTAGCTAACATTTCATCCTCACTTGGAGCAGTGTTTTTCAAAACTATGCCCTAGAGAGGCCCAGGGAATGGGAAGATGAGGAGAAGCCAGGGGGATGGGGGTTAGGGGGTGTTGCTTTTTCATCTGCCTGGAGTTTTTAAAGTTTAGGGACTTCCCAATTTACAAAGAGTCTGTGTTCAAAAACTTCAATTTATAAGTCAGGGCTTTGGAACTCAGGGCTCACTTTGCTACAGAAAATCATCTGATGCCTGTCCCGAGGCAAGCAATAAAAGCCTGAGGCCCCACAGGTGGACTATCACATTACTAATTCCACTAGAAATAACATCTGATTTTTGCTCCTTATGAATGGGCTACTGTAGGCCAGCGGGGGTGGCTAACCACCATTCACGCTATTTCTTTGAAGGAGTTCGTCCTGTGATGTGTGATGAAAAGGAAACCAGTGAGGATAAAAGGACTTCCCCTCCCTCTTCTCTCTCTTGATGGTCAAGTTCAAGGGCAGTCCATGTCTATCACGGTCACTGGCTGGCCAAGTGGATGTCCACCAGTTCTCTGCGAGCTGGAAAATGCCTATGAGCCTCTGCCTAGCACCAGTTCTGAAAGGCTAACTCCTGGTTTGCTTGTTTATTCTCCAGTATTTCATATCATTTCATTATGACAATCTGGTACCTAATATAGATCCCGAAAAAGCTTCAGAGGATTAAGAACTTTGGTAAAAAATGCTGGCAGTGTTTATAACCCTTTCAAAAAGAGAGAGAAACAAAGAGAGAGAGACAGACAGAAAAAAGAAGAGATAACAGCATTTGACTAGAAATAATTTTCTAGATTAGGTTGAAAATTAATCTTTTTTTTTCTTCATTTTGGTTCATTTGGTAAGCTAATGAGCTCAGAGAAAAGAACTAGTTTTGACTGAACAATTCTAAAAGATTTCAGAATTTAAAAACTTGGAGCTAGAAGCAGATTTGATTCATTTAGCATCACAAATTACCAAAACAAGTATACAAAATATTCGTAGCCAATTTTCTACCAAAACTGTTGAGCTTTTCAGAATTCCAAATATCAAAACTCTAAGGAAATGTTCTGTTGCATAATCAAATAATTTAATTGGCTAAAATTAAATCAAATGTCATTACTGACTATTACGATTATGATAGATAAATTTCCACACTTTTGCAAAACTGGAAATACTCATACAGAAGTGTTTTCGCCTCTCACTCAGAAAACAATAATAACAATAATGACTTCTTGCTACTTTCACTTTACGCAAAATCTTACCTTTATGTATACTGCACCATCCCCTTATACCACAATTATATGCTTACAAATCTCCTTTTCTAAATGATCTCTGAGCAATGGACCAGAGTGTGGACACTGTGTGCTCACAGATCTAGGGTCTATTCCAAGTTCAAGCTTACCAGCTAAGCTTTCAAGGGCAAGTTATTTAAATTCTCTAAAGATTGGGCATTTCGTCTAAATAGGGATAATAATAAATACCTGTCTCTTAAGACTCTGAGATTAAATGAAATAATACATGTAAAATTATGTGCCTAGAATACAACAAGCTTGTTGACAATATGATGATGATGGTGATGATAATGATGTCTTTATATCTCCAGTGCCTAACACAATCCCTTGCACAAAGTAGGTAATCAATACATGTTTCTTGAATTGAGTTAAATTTCCCCAAGTTGTCTGCCCATAAGCCCTACATTTTCTTTCTAGAGGATAAAACATTTGAACAAAAGCTTAAAGAAAATATGATGCCTTCACCTGACCACTGCCTGGCCATCCCACAGCACTTTGTACATATCTGTTAGCTCTTGTCCCTCCAGCCTGTAATTATTTGTACATGCTGCCTTCTGAAGCATGCAGCTTGATACATGAGAGAGAACAAAATCAGCCTTTCATAAAACAGTGAACTCCTTTTTTCTTTGCATTTCCAAAACCAGGCACACAGTAGGAAAACAATAAACATTGCTCCTGGGCTGAGGTGAAGGTATCTACAACCACTAACCGAGCCCAAAGGGAGTGTTGTGCCTTCAGAAGGAAGGAGACTGTTTATTTCAGATTCTTTCTCAACCTTCAAGGCTCCACTCAAACCCCACCTCTAGCACGAAGCACTGTCCAATCCAATGTACCTGATCCCTCTCTTCTGACTCCTTATTGTAACTTAAACACAGTCATTCCAGGTATCTGTTAGTCCTCTTTCCTCAGATGCCCTGCAAGCTCTGTGAAGGGAGGATTTACTAATTACAAATTCTTTTGCACAGTACCAGAGCATGTAACAGACAGGAAACCAGTATTCGATTGCTTGACTTAGTTCTATTTTCCAATGTGCTCGAAGTACTTATCCAGAATTATCTGATTAATCCTAACTCAATGAGAAGAAGGGCACATTGGCTCTGCACAGACTGGAGCCAGGTCCTCGTACCCCTAGCAGTGGGAATGAGTAGGAATATTCTTGCACTCTTGTACATAACAGTCTCAGCACCCAATTTAGGGGCCAGCATCCAATTTTTGGAACTAATGGCTTAGCATGCACAAACCAAAAAACAGCTCCCAACCAAGTCCTCATGGCCTTGTTAACCAATAATAAAACCTACTTTGAGTTATATTTCCTCTAATTAAATGGACTGAGAAGCATCTCCAAGTCCCCCAGAAAGAGAACAGAGGGAACCCCAATCTCCCTGGTGATTAGGTGAACAGCCAAGAAAATAATTGGATACTGAGTGACTGAGAGTCGCCTACTCTTATTAAGAAGAGCTACAGACTGACATTTTCAATGACTTCTAGAGAGACACCTCCTGCCTTCACAAATTCTGCTCTTTTCTCTTTTCCATACCAGGGATTCTCAGGCACATAATAATAATAATAAGCCTCCACCGTCATAGACTATTTTTTAACTTTTCAAAATGCTTTCAAACCTAACTGCATCATATGACACCTGCAGCCACCCTGCAGTTAGACAAGACAGACTGTTTCACTTTGCACAAAGAATCAGAGTGGCTGGCCCAGGGCCATAGCGAATGAATGGCCACAGGGGGCCTTCCCCCTCCCTCCTCGGTGTCACGTAACTACAGTTGACCAGTGGGCTGCAGTGCACTTGCTCAGCTCTTCCTACACCATGCAGGCAAGATAACATCTCTGAAACAGAGCGCCCTGTGTTTCTTAAAGAGCCTGGGTGTCCCTGGAGAAAACCCTGCCAACTCAAAACCCTAGTCTTCACCAATGAGTTTCGCCATATCGTAACTACAGTTGACCAGTGGGCTGCAGTGCACTTGCTCAGCTCTTCCTACACCATGCAGGCAAGATAACATCTCTGAAAGAGAGCGCCCTGTGTTTCTTAAAGAGCCTGGATGTCCCTGGAGAAAACCCTGCCAACTCAAAACCCTAGTCTTCACCAATGAGTTTCGCCATATTGAAAGCAAGTGCCATCCAAAATGGTGGACTGGAGTCAACTATGGTGTTCTCATCTTTGTTCATGTTGTCAACATGACGTAGTAAAGAAATATGAATGAAGGGACAGGAGGAAAATAAAGCTCGTGGCTGGCATGAGAGAGCACGTGAGCCCCACATGCACGGAGATTGGGTCAAGTTAATATCTTATTTTTCCCCTACATATGCAGTGTGGAAAAGCTCTTTATAAAATGTTTTTCAGGGCCAGCCCCGTGGCGCACTCGGGAGAGTGCGGTGCTGGGAGCGCAGCGACGCTCCCTCCGCGGGTTCAGATCCTATATAGGAATGGCCGGTGCGCTCACTGGCTGAGTGCGGTGCGGACGACACCACACCAAGGGTCACGAAAAAAAAAAAGACAAAAAAAAAAATAAATGTTTTTCAATATTAAGTATGAAAGAAGTTGATACTGCCTGGAAACACTTCCTCTGACCAGAATTCATTTGCTTGCCCTGGTTCCATATGAGTGACAGAAGCCAGGACAGTGGGATGGTTCAAGACCAGGAATGGTACAGACGGTCCAACGCTTTCACCCTGAGTCCCCAAGCAGGGCTGCTCTCAGTCTCCACCCTGGCTGGTGACCCAGCATGATGGCTCAATGGCACAAATCTCTTCCCAGTGGCCTTGAGAATAATCTTTAGTATCGATGTGACCAAATAGGCCTTCCAGAAATTACCTGGCTCTGCAATTCACTTTGCTGCTTCAGGCGAAGATTTTCAGGTGTATCTGCCACTGTAGTGAAGGATTGCTTTGGGTAGTGTCTGTGGAGAAAATTTTTAAGAGAACGTAATTAAAATACAGTGCTATGAAACAGTCTTAACACCAATTGTTTTCCCCTTCCTTCCCTTCTGTCACAGTGGAAGAGGTGCCCGTCCTCTTGGCTGAGGTCAAACCTGTCATCAATCTGGATCCCATCCCATTCTCATGACAGTGTGTCACTCAGGCATCCCCACTCTCTCCCGAAACTTTAACCATGGTTTCTCTATTCTATTAGCCACTTCCTGTCAACAATGAAGAATGCTCACGGCTCTCCCAGCTTTTACTATCCCACCCTGCACCCCACACACCAGGCCAGCACGTGTACCACCTAGTCAGCCCTTCAGCCGGACTCCCTTAGAAAGAGGCCTAACCTCACAGTCCTTACTCATCTCCTCAACTCTATAATTGGCTTCTAGCCTCTGTTTCCAGAAGTTTCTCTTGCTAAAGTTATAATGACTTCCTGTGGGCACATCCAATGGACATCTCTCAGTCCCCTTGCATGGCCTTTCCTCCATCCTGAAATGTCCTCTCTTGGTTCCTGTGTCACCACACACACTCCTGGCATGGCTGCTCCTTCTAGCTCCTTCTCTGTGTCCTGTGGGCTCCTCTTTGTCTGCTCATACCCCCTTCAGGGTCCTAACATGGACTTTCTTCTCTTCTTAGTCGACACCATCCCCTGGGTGATCTCACTCATTCCTGTGACTTTGGGGACCCTCGACCCATAAGCTGATTAATCCCAAATCTGAGTTTTAGATCCAATGGCATTTTCATTTGTATATCCACCCCCCACTACAAACTCACCCCGTCTGAAACTCATCTGTCTCTCACCCCATCCCACCTCTAAGACAAGTTTCCCCTCCTATATTCGCTTTTTCATCTGCTAGTGCCCAGCTGTCCAAGTCAGGAACCTGAAAGTAATCCCGACTCCTCACCCCCACTACAAACTCACCCCGTCTGAAACTCATCTGTCTCTCACCCCATCCCACCTCCAAGACAAGTTTCCCCTCCTATATTCACTTTTTCATCTGCTAGTGCCCAGCTGTCCAAGTCAGGAACCTGAAAGTAATCCCGACTCCTCACACATCCAATCAGTGGCCAAATCTATCGATTCAGTCTGCTAAATAGATCTTGACTATATTTACATATATATGTATACATATTTCCATCTCCACTGCATTTTTTTATTATAGGCTGCATTTATCTTTCAGGTTAACTACAACATATTCCAGTCTCCAGTCTTGCCCTCCCAATCCAAATTGCCAAAGCAAAACGTTCTAAATTGTAAATCTGATCACATTAGTCCTCTGAGTACGACCTTTCAGTGGCTTCCCATTGACCTGAGAATAATGTGCAGCCGCCTGTCTTCCAAGGCCCCGGTCCATGAGCAGCCCTCTGTGACTTCTCACTGCCTCTGCATGCTCTGGCCACGGGGGGGTCACTTCAGTCCCTGGAGCTCACCTTTCTCATTCCCACCTCTCCTCCTACATGTGACTCCCCTCACCTGCAACAACATCCCTCTTCCCACCCCACTCCCTGCGTAACTGCCTTTGTCTACAAGTCTTGCCTGAGATGTCACTTTCTCCAGGAAGCCTTCCTGGCCCCCCAAATTTGGGTTGGGAATGCACCCTGGGTATACTTCCCTTCCTCTGTTATAAGGCTTATCGTCCCCATTTGTATTTCACAATTGGATGTCTCTGTCTCACAGCTTGAAGGAAGTTCTGCGGCAGCAAGAAAAGACTGTCTAGTCCCTTGTTGAAGCACATTCCTGCCTCTATCCCCAGCACCCAGTATGACCTCAATAAATATTTGTGGACAGAAGAAATGAAGGGAGGGAGAAAGGGAAAGAATAATCAGACAAAGCCTAAGAGCCCATGATTGGGCTACGGTAAAGCTTCAGAGTGTTATATCCTATATATTGTCACAGACGTGCAAACACACAGCTGCTTCTTATATTCAAAGATGACCCTCCTGGTGGTGAAGAGATGGCACTTTCTCCCCATGTGGTTTCTCAAACATTCCCTTTGCCTCGCTGTTCCAAACTCTTCTCTCCTTCTGGAAGGTTCTTTTTGCCATCCCTGTCCCTGCTTCCCATAAGAAGGCTGATGGAGTAATCTTTTGTCAGTGCAGATAAACTCTGCAAAACTTACCCAAAGCACACTAGCACTTCTGAAATAAACATTAATATTTTTTAGCCCCATGAAGTCAGATTCATGATAGGAAAACATATATTCATGCCTCATTTTTCCAGCATTCTTCAGGAATTTAACGTTCCATATATATCAATGTTCTAGATAACTAAAGTTAACCCCAAAACTGCTGGACTCATTTTAATTATTTTAATTAAAATCCTTCAAAACCCTTTACATCACTTTCCTGCCTTCTTAGAGAATATACAAACCGAAATTACATTTTTATGATAATGTAGATTCATCTTAACTGATATTATCAGATCATGATATAAAGCAGTCATGCTTTTGAAGTTTACAAAGGAATAGCCTAAACTGTACTAGGTCATTGCGCTTTTATAACTGTCAAGAGATCATTTCTCACATACAGCATTCTGGCCTGCACTGCCTTCTAGTTGCCTTCTTCTAACTCAGAGTAAGAAACTAGACAGTCAAGTTGGTTTAAAATGTTGGTAAACACTAGAGCTATTGATTCCAGTGAGTAAACTGTAGTAGGTAAGGTCTCTCTCCTTATCCTATATGGGCCATACCCTTCTTGGGGCCACTTCTAAACTGTGCTCCAGGTGTGTAGACAGGTGAAGTTGGACAGACAACTCTGGTGTGTAACATAATATATGCAAGTTCTGGCTTGGAAAGTTGAATTTCACTGGGCTTTAAAATGCAGCAACTGCATATTGCTATTCTTTAAGGTTATAATACTGACACCTGAGCATGTTTTTTTGTTTGTTTGTTTTTCAAAATATATTCTGCAGAATAAAGTTGCACAGAGATTTTCAGGGTTCCACGATGTTTCATTCAAAAATTTTATGTATGTATTTTAACTATTTTTAAAACTCTAATTAAAATGCGCTCTCAAATGTGTTCCAGAAACTTTAGCCTGTTGAGATCCCTGCTACACTAACTTGCAGGTTAATCCAGTTTGGGGGCAGTCTTTGGGGGACAATCTTCTCCTGTCACTTATGTTTAATTAAAAATTCTTTTTAATTTTTATTAAAGAGCACCCTGAACTGTTGGGGGACATACAATTTGCAAATGCTTTACTATGTACACATGAATTTCCTACTCACGACACAAAACTGATTTCTATTTGTATACTAATGAATTTCACTTGCCATCCATACCTCTAATTTTATGAAAATAAAATTAAATTATGAAAATAATCTAATTATCCTCACCACTTGACTTGACAATGAGAAAAGGTGATAGATTTCAACTTATGAAATACATGCATATAAATAAAACATCACTTTTATATGTTTGATATTGGCATCCCATACTAAGTTTTATTTAGAAAGAGGATTAGACTGAAAAAAAAATTGAAAAGTTTCTCTTGATTTTTAGAAGACATATTTTGCTAACCTGATAACCAAAGCAGCAAACTTGCAACTATATCTAGAACTATAAAAAGATGCCAATGCTTTGCACTTTTTCCAATATCCTTTCGATGCTAAAATTTAATGATTTTGTAATAGTGGGTTAATCTGTATATAACATAACTTTCTCTAAAGATGCATTACAGGAAGAAATTATCCAAAATTTTGATGTAGGAGAAAAAGTTCAATTTAGTATTAAAACCAAAATAATAGATGTTGAGGGAAAGAAGAAATTCATATCTGAAACTACAAGCAATTATGAGTAGTAAAATGAATTAAAACCTGAGGCTTTGGGGATCCAAGTTATATTAGAGCAAGGAAAATTCAAGAGAATAAGGTCTTCAAAAGAAATGTCTAACTGTCAAGAGAGTGGAATGGCCTCATGAGTTGGAACTGTAAGACTCAGAAGAAATAAGTGTAATTATAGAAATGGCAGCACATACTGCATTATATTAAAAATAATAATTACAATATCTGGAGAAACCTGATTAATTTGACCAAACTTGACACATCTGAAAATCCTATCAAACATTAAATTTCTCAACATCATGTCCACGTAGTAATGCCAGTCTAAACTAATCCAACAACATTCTGCTCTGAAGTCAGAGTCTCAACTCCCATCCACCACTCCACCCTTCCTGCAGAAGCAAAAGAAAAAAGAAAAAAAAAAAAAAAAAAAGACACGGAAATAAACTGAGGGGCCATGGGTCCCCCTCGTGAAATAAAAGGAACAGAGAAGCAGAGCCCTTTAAAACTAATTGCTTGTACCATACAATTAATTCTAGAACTTTCCAAATACTTCATTCAAATGGTTGTAAAAGGTCTTCCTAAAATAAATGCCTTGAATAGAAATCTTTTTTTTTTTTTTTGTCCTTTTTGAGACCGGCCGCACCGTGCTCAGCCAGTGAGCGCACCGGCCATCCCCATATAGGATCCGAACCTACGGTGGGAGCGCTGCTGCGCTCCCAGCGCCACACTCTCCTGAGTGCTCCACGGGCTCGGCCCTTGAATAGAAATCTTAAGGAAAGAAAAGGACTTCTTCACCAGGCCAAGAAGGAGAATGACATCTTTTCCTCCTTCATATTGAGTCAGAATGTTGGACAGAAGGTGCTGCAGGGGCCTGAGCACTGGATGTTCAAAGAGAGCAAGGAAACAAGAAAAAAAAATACAAAAGAAGGGGTGAATGAATGGACACATGCATACATTTCCTGGAAAATAAAACATAATTGTGGAAATAGGACACAAAACACATTAGGAGCTGGTTGAGAGATCTGGGGAATATCGTGAAATGTTTAAGCATCATAAACAGAAATCTCTTCGCTGAAGCAGCAGGAATTGGATGCAGGCTATGTATAAAGACCCGGCTGACAGCTGCAACAAATCCACATTTCCATGAAATGCTATATTAAAAATAAAGAGGGAAAAAATCAAGATAATAATAGA